TTGTAAGTAATACAATAAACACCCAAGTCTCTACCACCAGATTTGTCAATATTTAATACCTTGTCATATTGCTTCATCACATAAATAATTAAAGTAGCCAGTGTTCCTCTCTTTTTTCCATTACTCTTTTTTCCTCTCTACACATTTCCATTATCTTTAATTTGGTGTCTCCTTTTTTCATGTGGGTTTACTATCACTGCATATGCAACCATAAAAATGGACATTATTTTTCATGCTTTAAATTCTGTGTGAATGATATTTTACTGAAGGTATTATTCTGCCACTTGCCTAGTTAGTTTGCATTATATTCTTGACATATATGATTTCCTTGATTTTATTTGCTTTACAGTACTCCATTTACACCACAATATAATATAACCATTTCCCTGTTAAAGGATGTTTAATTTGTTTGCTATTTTCCCACTATCATAGACAATACACTATTTTTTTAGGTGCCTCCTTATGAATATGTTTGAGAGTGTCTATAAAAAAAGCATGGGATGGCTTGATCAGAGGGCATGATTATGTTCAACTTTAATATGTTGCCAAACAGCTTTCCAAATTGGTTATATTATCCCATAGCACTCTTGAAACAAGACAACACAGAGAAAGACAAATACTGTGGAATTGAGCTCATAGAAGAGGTAGACTGGTGGCTACCAGGGGCTGGGTGTGAAGGATAATGGGGAGATGTTGATGAAAGGGTACCAGCTTTCAACTATAAGATGAGTAAGTTCTAGGGATCCAAAGTATGGCATAGTGACTATAGTTAACAAAATTTTTGAAGATTTAAGTTTTGCTAATAAAGTAGATATTAAATGTTCTCACCACATGTACAAAAGAAGGCAACCATGTGAGATGATGTATATTTTAAATAACATTATTTTGGTCACAATTTCATAATACATATGTACATCAAATGAAACAACAGGAACAAAAGCAAAAATAAGAACATTTTATCAAAGTAGTTCTCCAGGGAAATAGAATAAAATCTTGACCTTTCCATTCTCTGGTCATGTAATCATGAGCAAATTACTTAACATTTTTAAGCTTGTTTCCTTACCTTTAAAATGAGGGAAATAATACTTAACCATATATGGTTTTTTTTCCTGAAAACTTAAATGAGATTAGCTATTAATAAAGGATAATTGCTCTTACTGTAATAAAGATTACTATCAAATATACCTATATGGCTTAATGAACTTAAATTCATTATGTGTTTATTACTTTCATTTTGTTTTCTATACTGTCGAAGGAAGATCACTGCTGTTATGGGCTGAATTGTGTCCCCCACAATTTATATGTTGAAGTCCAAACCCGCAGTGCCTCAGAATGTAACTTTATTTGGAAACAGGAATTTTAAAAAAGTAGTCAAGTTAAAATGAGGTCTTTAGGGTGGGCCCTTTTCCAATATGACTAGTGTCTTTGTAAGAAGAGGACACCAACGTGCCTGCATGCAGAGAAAAGCCATGTGAAAACAGTGAGAAGATGACCATCACCAGTAAGCTGTGGGGAGAGGCCTCAGGAGAAGCAACCCAGCTGACTCCTCAATCGAGGACTGCCATCCTCAGGAATTGTGAGAAAATTAATACTTTTTGTTGTTTAACCTAAAAAAAAAGACATAATACATTCATCATAAGATAGGCACTTGATAGCAAATTTCACTGTTTAACTTGGCAATCAGAAAAGATTTCCCCTTGCAAGGAAAACTTTGATGAGGAGATTGAAGCAAAGTAAACAAAACTCCAAAACTCCCTTGGTTGACTGTTTCCCTATCAAATCAGTCTTTCAGTCATCAAAATTTGAACAAACCATCAAAGTTCTAAGCAGAACATAGTTACTGATGGTGACTGTTTGCAGGGACCTTAACTTTATGGGAATTACTTAGGTCATTCATCCATCATACAAAAATTTCTACATGCATCACTATTAATGTGAAGGACACTTTCCCCCTTGAAACCAATCAGTAAAGTTTTAAAAAGGTCTGCTGGTGGTGTTTACCTTTGCTTGATAAAACACCAAAGATAGAGTGCTTAGTGTTCCCTTTCAAGCCATTAGCGAACTAAGATGCTTTCTTCTCCATTTTATTTTTCTTCCCTCCCTCTCACCCTCCTTCCTCCCCTCCTCCCTCTCTTTCTTTCTTTGAGACACACACACACACACACACACACACACACAATTTGGTGTCTCCTTTTTTCATGTGGGTTTACTATCACTGCATATGCAACCATAAAAATGGACATTATTTTTCATGCTTTAAATTCTGTGTGAATGATATTTTACTGAAGGTATTATTCTGCCACTTGCCTAGTTAGTTTGCATTATATTCTTGACATATATGATTTCCTTGATTTTATTTGCTTTACAGTACTCCATTTACACCACAATATAATATAACCATTTCCCTGTTAAAGGATGTTTAATTTGTTTGCTATTTTCCCACTATCATAGACAATACACTATTTTTTTAGGTGCCTCCTTATGAATATGTTTGAGAGTGTCTATAAAAAAAGCATGGGATGGCTTGATCAGAGGGCATGATTATGTTCAACTTTAATATGTTGCCAAACAGCTTTCCAAATTGGTTATATTATCCCATAGCACTCTTGAAACAAGACAACACAGAGAAAGACAAATACTGTGGAATTGAGCTCATAGAAGAGGTAGACTGGTGGCTACCAGGGGCTGGGTGTGAAGGATAATGGGGAGATGTTGATGAAAGGGTACCAGCTTTCAACTATAAGATGAGTAAGTTCTAGGGATCCAAAGTATGGCATAGTGACTATAGTTAACAAAATTTTTGAAGATTTAAGTTTTGCTAATAAAGTAGATATTAAATGTTCTCACCACATGTACAAAAGAAGGCAACCATGTGAGATGATGTATATTTTAAATAACATTATTTTGGTCACAATTTCATAATACATATGTACATCAAATGAAACAACAGGAACAAAAGCAAAAATAAGAACATTTTATCAAAGTAGTTCTCCAGGGAAATAGAATAAAATCTTGACCTTTCCATTCTCTGGTCATGTAATCATGAGCAAATTACTTAACATTTTTAAGCTTGTTTCCTTACCTTTAAAATGAGGGAAATAATACTTAACCATATATGGTTTTTTTTCCTGAAAACTTAAATGAGATTAGCTATTAATAAAGGATAATTGCTCTTACTGTAATAAAGATTACTATCAAATATACCTATATGGCTTAATGAACTTAAATTCATTATGTGTTTATTACTTTCATTTTGTTTTCTATACTGTCGAAGGAAGATCACTGCTGTTATGGGCTGAATTGTGTCCCCCACAATTTATATGTTGAAGTCCAAACCCGCAGTGCCTCAGAATGTAACTTTATTTGGAAACAGGAATTTTAAAAAAGTAGTCAAGTTAAAATGAGGTCTTTAGGGTGGGCCCTTTTCCAATATGACTAGTGTCTTTGTAAGAAGAGGACACCAACGTGCCTGCATGCAGAGAAAAGCCATGTGAAAACAGTGAGAAGATGACCATCACCAGTAAGCTGTGGGGAGAGGCCTCAGGAGAAGCAACCCAGCTGACTCCTCAATCGAGGACTGCCATCCTCAGGAATTGTGAGAAAATTAATACTTTTTGTTGTTTAACCTAAAAAAAAAGACATAATACATTCATCATAAGATAGGCACTTGATAGCAAATTTCACTGTTTAACTTGGCAATCAGAAAAGATTTCCCCTTGCAAGGAAAACTTTGATGAGGAGATTGAAGCAAAGTAAACAAAACTCCAAAACTCCCTTGGTTGACTGTTTCCCTATCAAATCAGTCTTTCAGTCATCAAAATTTGAACAAACCATCAAAGTTCTAAGCAGAACATAGTTACTGATGGTGACTGTTTGCAGGGACCTTAACTTTATGGGAATTACTTAGGTCATTCATCCATCATACAAAAATTTCTACATGCATCACTATTAATGTGAAGGACACTTTCCCCCTTGAACCCAATCAGTAAAGTTTTAAAAAGGTCTGCTGGTGGTGTTTACCTTTGCTTGATAAAACACCAAAGATAGAGTGCTTAGTGTTCCCTTTCAAGCCATTAGCGAACTAAGATGCTTTCTTCTCCATTTTATTTTTCTTCCCTCCCTCTCACCCTCCTTCCTCCCCTCCTCCCTCTCTTTCTTTCTTTGAGACACACACACACACACACACACACACACACACACACACACACACACACATACCCCACATTTTCTTTTTTTCTTGTGTTTTTCTTCTCCTCCCCAGCCATCCTTCTCCCCTCCCTAAAGCAGTCAACCTCTGGAAATTAGTCGTCTCTATTAGGAAAATAAAAAGAATGTCAAGTGTCATTTTGACCAAATGTTTCTTGTCTCTATCTCTCCTTTCCTCTCTAACAATGGAGCAGCAAAGTGGAGGGCCTGTGTGTGCCTGGTGGGGGGCACAGTCCCCAGTACCAAGAGGAATTTGGTATCTCTACAGTAAGAGCTTGGCAAATGCGTTGATCGCAGAACAGGCTCAAGTCCATTTCCCAACAGATGGGGGAGTCTCCCCAGTGAGTTGCCACTCCTTTTACAGGGAGGAAGTTTCTGAATTCTGTTTCTTTCACCGCCCCAGGACCTGAAGGGGGTCCCAAAGGTTGTTTCTGTCCAGACTTGATCCCCTGTCCTCACCACGATCTCCCACCCCGGTGCCAAGCAATCCTTGCAATCCTTTCTCCACCTCCAGCCTAGAAAATGGGTGCAAACGGTTTCCTCGAACAAGCTCCGGAGAGAGGAGCTTCATTGGTTAAATCCAAATTCCAGTGGGAGGGAGGGGGTCAAGAGGGAGAAGCGAGGCCAGTCAATACTATGGGCAAAGACCCACTTGGGGTGGAGGATTTCGGTCCCTGGGAGGGGAGGGAGGGAGTCCCTGGTCCTGCTCTAGAGAGTTAGAAGTCGGTAGGAACCGCTCAGCCTTTGGGTGCAAGAGCACTAATGTTAACCCCGGTATCTCCAGGATGCGGGCACGAAAGGGTGTAGAGCGGTATACACAGCTCACCATACACTCGGAGAGCTCCGCGAGAAAAGGAGGGGGCGAGGAAAGGCAGGTTCCGCCTCCCCAGGCCCGCGTGCACACACGCGCCCCCCGCGGCTCGGGCTGGCTGAGGGCGGCCGAGTGTGCGCACGCCGCGGACAGCCTCTGCCCTCGCCTCGCTCCCAGCCCAGGGCATCTTGAGAGCCTGGAAACGTGAACAGGCTTAAAGTATGGCATGTTGCAAAGATGTTTTTTTCCAAGAAGGTACCCGCGATCGCGACGTCCTCCGGGGTCAGTTTCGCCCTCCTGCACTTCCTGTGCCTGGCGGCGTGGTGAGTTCCCTGGGGTGCTGGGGATCAAGGGGCAAGGCGGAGAAATGGCTAGCTCCGGACACCCTCCTGCCGCCCACCTTCTCCTTTCTCCGCTGTGAGATCGGGGGAGGGATTCCAGCTTCTCTGGGACCGCGTAGACGCAGAGAGCAGAAGGGACACTGGGTGCCAGAAGAGTGTTGGTACTGGGGTGCGTGTGCGTGGGGTGCTCCTTTCCCGACCATCTCTCTCTTCCTGATTCCTCAGCTCTGCCCCCGTTAGCTTGGGGCAAGAGACTGCCTGGAAGATAAACTGTTCCCACCTGTTTTCTGATCGATTCTTAAAATAATCCCCACCCCCGATTTTTGCGTTTGCAGTTTAAACGAAACCCCAGGACAGATCCAGAAGGAGGAGAAATTATGCCCGGAAAATTTTACCCGCATCCTGGACAGCTTACTCGATGGTTATGACAACAGGCTGCGTCCTGGATTTGGGGGTATGAAAGATTTCAAACGCTCAAGTGTGTCCGTCTGTCCCCTCTCTGGGTCTTCCTGTCTGTCTGTCTGTGGGATATCATTAGGTATGCTTTGCATGCAAAAATGAAAATTCTCTCACCCCCTTTCTTTGTGTTCCCCCCCCGTCCCTCCCTCCTCTCCCTCCGCTCTCTTGATGAGACCTCTGACAAGAAAACCGCCTCCACCCGCACTTTCCCATCTCCCCGCCCCCTCAGAAGCTTTGCTTCTCCCCCACACTAATTACCTCCCGGGACCTGACTTCTGGGTGGGGGAGGTTGGACGGGAAGACGCAAAGTTGGGAACTCGGGGCTCTGCTGCCCCGCTGCGCTGCGCCCTGAGACTGGACTTTCCGAGAGCCTGGCCACTTTGCTCAGGGAAGGTTGCACTGAGGCAGCTGACCTGAGGTCCCCTGTCCTCCCACGTGGTGTCCGTCCTTCTGCCAAAACCTGGGCCGTGCCCCACCTAGGACATGAATCTGGGGCACCACCGAGGCTGCCTGCTGTATGCTAGAGAGCCCAGAACTTTCCTGTTCTTTTCTACAGTAGGGTGAATTTTTACTTTATTTGGAGGAGGGTGGTGGTGGCATTTTCTTCCCTCCTAAAAGTCTTGGGAATCAGAGGTGTTCAGCTTCATTTCTTCCTTCAATAAATATTTATAACTGGTTTAACGGAGGCACAGGCATTAATAGTACGGTTGCTCTTTTTCATATTCACATTTCCTTTGCTTATATAATGAGAGTCTATGTGGCAAGCATTATGCTAGGCATTAGGTTTGCAGAAATCTCAAGATATAATTCTTACCCTCCGACATGACACTCAGTCCGTTTCGCAGAGAACAGTGACTTCACCCCACTGTGGGTCCCGGGTTTCCGACGGCTGAGTCCCTCTTCTTCACACGGTGCCGAGCTCATCACATCTTGGGAAATGAGTGGAACAGGACATTGGCTCTATTCTGAAAAAGCTTATATTCTAGTAGTAGTAACAATAATAACAACCACTAATACTGCATTTTTTAATTCAATTTTTCATATATATCAGGCATTTTATAGGCATTACTGTTTAATCCTCTCAATAACCCTGAAAGAAAGCAATTACTATCCCCATTTTACAGATGAACAAATTGAGTCTTAGGAAGGTGAGTAAGCTGTCCAAGTTTTCAGTCAGTAAATGGCATGGGCAGGATGTGACCCAGGGGCAAACCCGTGAAGACTGGGATGAGCATCCCGTATATTAGAAGCAAGGGAAATTGAAGCTTCCTGCTGCTGGAGCATAGGAGGTACGGTGATGGGAGGGTGGGAAAGTGAAGCGGAGCAGTGCATTCCTGTGAAAGAGGGCAGAAGTAGACACAATTTAGGAGGAGTGTGAGCCCAGGTTAGAAATAATTGTTGGAAATAGAATAAAATTAAATGGAATAAAGCTGGATGATTCTTTGAAGTCTGTCTAGTCTTGTTCTTTTCATTTAACAAGTGAGGACACTGAAGATTAGAAAGGGACAGTGATTTATACAGGGACACATAGCATATTAATGATAGGCTGGAGTCAGATCTTCTCATCCAAACCCTTTTTTTACTGGATTTTATTGAGAAAGTTACGGGGAGCCATTCGTGGTATGAATTCAGTTTAGGCGTGTGGACAGTGGTAAAGGTGGGCAAGAAGGATGAAAGGTTCTCTTGGCTCTTTTTTCCGTGCTTCTCCAGGGGTAGGATGCTCAGCCCTGAATTTGCCTTCATGCAAATGTGAACTGAGTCGTCATTACAGAGGTGAATCAGTTCCAATGCATGATCTGTCATAAGTGACTGGGGAATCATCAATTTAGATCGGAAATAATTTTGTGGAGAAGGTTGCAGATGATGTAATACCATTTAAGACTACATTAATCGACAAAAGAGGATTTATCTGCCCATAAAGCTTTTGAACTTGACATTTCAAGTAAAGAAAAAAAAACAGACATATCAAATCACATGTAGTTTAATTATTCAGTACAGAATTGATGTACCTGCACATAAAATGAAAAGTTATACATGAAACTATATGTTTTTATTGTTAAATGTTGAAAGCTAAAATAATGCGTGCCCACTTGATTATAATGCAAGTTATAATTCAAAAGGAAAAGGAATCCATTGTAAATGCATCCTTTTTACCAACTACCCTCTTCCATGGTATCATACAGACAATAAAATGAATGAAATCAATCTATGTAAGCCGTTACTGGATTTCTGTGAGCAGCAGTATTGCTAAAATGTCTCAAGGGCATTATTAGTCATCTTACTTGTCACTGCTAAGTGATCTGTATTACCCACCTGGAGTTACTTTTATAGCTTTAAGGGAAGGGGTTGCATTCACCATACCTCAAGTGTTAGCAGTTGATTAATCATTAAAAATTTACTATATAGCACCACTTTTTCAGCTATGCTCATAAATATTTGCAATAAATGTGATTCATTATTTTAGAAGTGGGTCATGCTCTTTAAATGTGTAGTATTTCAAACGTGACAGAGAAATTAGTAATTTTCACCTGCAGCAAACATGTAATGTGTTTACAGGATGTTATAATTGAGCATCACTGAAAATAATAAGAAAACTCATTGTTAGGATGGACTCTTGAATGCCACAAGTTTGCCCCTTTCTTTGACATTTTATGCTCCATGGAAAGTTTGGCATTTTCAAAATCAAATGAAAAACAATTCAGAGTTTGACCAGTATGCTATAAATACAGATTTACTTCCTGGTTCTTTAATCCTATTTCTGCTCTTTGAGGAGCATTTACTTTTTGTCTGTTTATACAACTTAGCAGTGTTCTATTTAAAATAAGGCTAAAAGCAAAGATTTGAATTGAAATTGGATAGTTTGTGATTGCTCAGTAGGCTGGCAAGGGTTGAAATAGATTCGGAAACTAAATTACATATTTTTAACTCCATAGCACAGCTTGCAATGGGGAAATAAAAGGAATTGAAATGGTTTTCTTCTTTTCATCCCTCCAGGATCTCCTCTCCCTTGTCTCCCCCATTCTCCCACTTGAGAAGAAAAGGGGAAAAGGTGAGAAGAGAAGGACAGAGGCATGATGAGAGAAGCTGGATTGGGACTTCTGAAGGGCATAGTCTTCCAGCCTCTGACAAGTCAGTCAGCTACCATCCTGAAGTAGCTTGCACCTGCTTGGAAGTGGCACACAAGGGAACCATTCCCCGAAGGAGTTAGAAAATCATTCCCCTGCACTTGTATTCACTTTCAACACCGTTCCATGCCTCCTTAAAAACGCAACCGCTGTTACTAACCATCAGGAGATAGTTTAGGAAGCCAGACCCTACCCACTTCCATATGCATAGCTAAGGTACTAACCATCAGGAGATAGTTTAGGAAGGCAGAGCCTACCCACTTCCATCTACTGAAGGATTACACAGACTTTTGTGCATTTCTATTTTTTGAGGCATATGATCTGGAATAATAAACACTTCAAATATAGATGATTGCCTTAGACCATTGCCACAACCTCTCTGAATGGGAACAGAGCATTAGGGTCAATTTGGCAATTTTGCTCACCAACATAGGACTCTTGTTGGGGTAGTCCTATAGTTTTGAAAACATTTTCATGTACAAAATCTAATAAGATTATCACAACAACATAAAGAGATAAACAGGGTGGATATTCTCCCTTTGCTAGAGAGGAGGCTAAGAAAATTCCAATGTATTGCCCAAGAACCCTACAACTAGTAACTGGCAAGACCACAGATCACACCTCAAACTTTAAACTCTTAGGCAGGCAGCTGGTCTATGGCTTTCTTGCATTCTTCTGTTTACTCAACGCCAAATTTTCATTAACATACTTTCTTGTTACTAAGTAGGTCATTAAAATAAGCAAAACTACATTTCTCCCAAAGGAATGAAATAAGAACTTTTATTTAGAAGCTTTAAAAACAATTTTAAATGGAAAAGCAAACATGGGGAATTGTATGCACTTAGTTAAATTTGGAATCACTTTCCCACACAAATGAAAATGCCTTTCTAAAGGCTATTTTTTAAAATGATCTATATCCCAACCTGAAAATCATTAATGTCATGTGCTAGCTTTATTAATTGAACATTGTGATCTATATCCCAATCTAAAAATCAAATGAATGTCATGTGCTAGCTTTATTAATTGAATGTTGACAAAGAATATATTTTTTAAAATATATAGATGAAAAGAACACTTTAAATCCACAGGGCAACAGGAAAGTGAAGCTTCTTTCTTTTCTGGTTTATCATACTCACTCACTCATTTGTTGAACCAATAGATACTGAAAGACTGCTCTGTGTCAGAAACAGTGTTAGGTTTTGAAGATGGACTCTGAGTCAGACATAAGCCTTCATGAACTTTACAGCTAAGCAGAGAAAAATAGCAAGAACAAAATAATAATTAAAGATCCTGCTATGGGACATTCCAATAGCTAAGATAGGTCATAAATCGGGTGAGGAATCCTCTTCAGATATTGACCAAGGAAGTCTCTTAAGCTAAGACTTAAAGGAGACAGATATGGGAAGGGTAAGTGAAAGTATTTCTCAGGTAGAAAACAACAACAAAACAACAAAACAAGTGCAAAGATCCTAAGGCAGATATTAAGTTAGTGTGATTTAGATGCTGAAGGCAGTCCAGTGTACTATAGTCAGAAAACCAGAGGAAGAATCCTACAGGACTAAGTTTTGGGTGGTGAGCAGAGGCCAGATGATGAAAGATCTTTTGTTAAGGAGTTTAGATTATTTTAGTGAACCTGGAAGCCATTGGGGTGATTAGATGGAGGGAATAACATGGTGACTCAGACTGTAATGTGATCCCTCTTGGCTGCTGCATAATAAAGCCTTAGATATAGACGTGGGGCAATACAGGAAGCTAGAAGACCAATGAAGAATTTTTTTTTTTTTTTGGTTCTTTCCATTAAGTTACTGGTGACTTGGAATAAGTTGGTAGAGGTAGTAAAGATGGAAATAAATGGATAAAAGTGTGATAT